TGAGACGAAGGGGGGCAGCAGGACAGAAGGAGAGAAACAGAAAAACCCAAACAGGCGGACAGACTGACAGAGAGACAGATAGATAAACAGAAAGACAGATGGCCAGTTTTTTTTGGGGGGAAGTGTTTTACGGCGCTCGCAACTGTATAAGGTCATATGTGCGCGCGGGACACACCAAACACTTACAGTTGGTAGGAAGTTTTAAATTTTGCCCAGGCAGCGGCCGAAGTCTACTCTTGTCGATTTTAGACCATGAAGGCATCTTTAACGAGCGCAACTTACACACGGTTTTTCAACGTTTTTCGCCCTTGTTCGAAAAGCTATGTGTAGATCTTTCCTACCAGAAGATCAGGGCTGTGGCTGAGTGAAAGACAGCAGTAAGAAGGAGCCAAGGAGTGGCAGTAGAAGACTGAAGAAAGAGTCAGGATCCTAGAGGAGGGGGTAAAGGAGGTGAAGGGATGGTGGGAGAAAGTAGAGACGAAAGCAGACAACAGAACATTGCTAGAGAGCAGGAAAGGAGGTAAAAGGAGACAATTTTAGAGAAGAACATTTTTCGGTCGCTACCCGGATTTGAACCCGAGGCCTTTGAATGAGAGGCGAACACCTTAACTTCTAGCCACAAGAGCCTCCTTACACTGGTGTGGAAAAATGGCACACACTGGGTTCGAGAAGTATTTTTTCTTTCTTTTTTTTATAGTGGAGGGTTTTACGGAATGATCTCTTATATGAGCAGCAAGTGTGGCATGGAGGAGAAAAATGAAAAGAAAAAGAAGTTATTTTATTGTATCATAGTTGAGGGTTTTACGGCGCTCGCAACTGCATAAGGTCATATGAGCGCCAAGGGGTGAGTGTCAACAGAGAAGTCATTACAGGGAATCAGACTTAGACTGCTCACCTCTCTAGCTTCAACAGCACAAGGTCTGCTTCGACTATCAATAAGGCACCCCAAAATAGCAGGTCATAAGTGAGTGACAAACATACAAAAGAAGTAGAGGAAAAAATGACAATAGTAAGGATCAGGAAAGAAAAAGCAGCAGTTCCCTGTTGTAGATCAGGCA